GTAATAACTTTAAACAGAGCTTAAAATATCTAAGGTATAATAAAATGAGGGTTACATGGTTTGGATATTTTAATTTCAGAAGTTACTTACCTAGCAAAACTATAGGAAATTTTAAAATAAGTAAAAGTAAATTTTAAATTACATTACTAGTAGAAAACATATGATAACCACCGTATGATATCTAAAAAAAATTCTTTGTATTAAAAATATCAAATGATATGATTAAATGCCAGTTTTTTCGAATATCTAAAGGTATTTAGAAATATCTGAGATATTTGAAATGAGTTTTTAATATCTAAGATATCTGTAATTATTTATTTGTATCTCTTACATATATTTACTTGATATTATCTATAATTGTCATTTAAAAGTAAAACGGCGTTCCATAACCTTTTGAGTAGAAGTGCCAGTTCAAAAATCAATCATTATCTCCTTGGCAAATATAAAGTAATACGCCCTTTTTGTATTCAACAATTAATTTTGTGTCATCTAAGTGCTCTTTCCGAAAACTTCCACATTATTTTATCCATCTATTTGAAGTTTTGATATATTACTCTCTGGAAATGAACAAATATGTCGTATGAATAGCGACACGTGGGATTAAACTTTGCGACTACTGCCAACTTCTAGATTTATGACTTTAATGACCAAAAAATATATTCCAGCTTTCTTGGATATAGCTTAGGTATATTATGTCGCTACGATATACAAAAATCGCGATCCGATTTACTTTAATTTAAGGCAGTGGGCAATTATTTACCTACGGCGCTGAAAAATTTTATGTACAATTTTTTCCGGGCGGTTTTACGGTTAAATCTAAAAGCTTTTCAATGTTATAAGAAAATCGTTAAGTTTTAACACCAAAGTTTATAGATTATTTACTCGAATATTTTAAATGGATCTACACGGTATGGGAGAATAGCGCGGGCGTCCGTAACATATTTCATCATTTCGCTTATTCGCGCGGAAAAGCAAGGTAGAAAGCCCATTATCAAATTGACAACTCGAAATCACAAACGCTATTTCATTTTTTCGATGTGAATGCGACGAGACGCAGAAGTGACGTTCATTACTTTTTTTCTATGAAATGCATTTCCCTGTCTTGAGGAGTCGCTAGAAACATTTTTCATATGCGAAACCTTTTTACGTGTCTTCATTTGTAATTACTTTTGAAAATACGAGTTTGGATATTTTTATATGGCGTTCCGAGCTTTGAGAAAAGTAATTTAATTCTCCTTTGGTGCGAAACTATCAACAGAAGTATAAAATCCTGTTTTCTTACAAGAAGATACAGCGAGGACTTTCAAACAACTACGTTTTCAGCAACACTAGTGGCAAAATTTGTTATTTAAAATTGCAGGAAGCGCATATTCAGTTAAAGATTTCTTGTTTTTCTGGTAGTTGAGTAAAGATAAGAATTTGCCGAACGAAAACTACGCATCGAGGCAATTTTGAGTAGAGGTAACCCATAACACAGATCCAATTTAAAAATATAACGAGTACGTGATCGATAGTATGTTTAGGATAAAAGCGGATTGATGCCTTTCATTTTACGGTAGCTATTTTCAAGACAGCTGATAATGAAATGGTAATAGTATTCTGACAATATTTAAAGTATACGTAGCATTTGGGTAAATATTTGTAGGCGAATAAACGAGTGCGTTAGAGGCATCTACCTACAGGATAAATGCGTAGCTTTTAGTTTAAATAACATTTTATGTACGTACAGGTATTTTTCCTCCAAAATCGGTCTTCCTGTAAAAATTCAGCAATATTCTTGAACTCTCAGTAGATCTGATATACACGGAAAATGTTCTTGAATTAAATAGCCATGCAAAAACGTCCCCAATCTACTAAAAGCTTGAAGTGGGCAATGGCACAGGAAATGGTGGTAGTTCAGGCCGAGTCTAACCGTCTTGGGAACTCACCTGGTTGAAAAAAAACTAAAACAGAATTCAAAAACCAACAGGGTCTAGCTTGTGAAGCAAACACCGATATCTTGGACTTAAAATTCACAAATTGTCTATTTTACAATAAATGAAACTGTTGAAAAAATCGAGACGACGAGAAACGATGAGATATTCAAGATGATTTTAATAAAAAATAATCGTACAGTTTTTTATAACAGTCAACAATCAAATCTTTTTATTTGACACACTGAAACCTTGATCTGATATACCTAACATAACTTCTAACCAATTTCAACTTCAATCATTCCAATTTTGGTTCGGAGTTCTTGAAAACGGGGTCTTGCAATTGGTTTTGTTAAAATATCTGCCAATTGTTTTTCACTAGATACATGTTCAATCTTCATTTGACAATTTTGTACTCTTTCTCGAATAAAATGTGTCCTAACATCAATATGCTTAGAGCGCTTATGAAAACTTGGATTTTTAGCAAGTTTTATAGCGCTTGCATTATCTATCAGAAGAGTTGGTACATCAAATAGTGGAGAAATTTCATTAAATAAGCGGCTCAACCAAACAGCGTCTTTAGCAGCCTCACTGGCAGCTACATATTCCGCTTCTGTCGTCGATACTGAAACACTTTGTTGTCTTCTACTTGTCCATACAATAGCACCACCGCAGAACTTGAAAAATACTCCACTTACTGAGCGACGCGTATTAGGGTCACTTGCATAATCGGCATCACAGTAGGACTCTAATTCTTGAATATTTCCAGTAACAGTATAGCAAATACCAAAATTAATAGTACCTTTCAAATACCTTAAAATTCTCTTTACCATTGTCCAATGCTGCTCTTGAGGGTTTTCTACAAATTTCGAAATATAATTCACAGCAAAGGCAATGCCAGGTCGTGTAGCTCGTCGTGTAGCTACTGTCAAATACAATAAACTACCTACCGCTTCTCGGTAAGGAGCATTAGTTCGTTCAGTATTTAGTACTTCCCCTGTCAGTTGACATCGTTCAATAGGAATCGATACAGGATTTGCATCAGTCATGTTATATTTCCGAAGAAGTCCTTTAGTGTAATTTCTTTGGCTTATAAAAATTGACCCATCATCGAAACGATCAATTTGTATATTCAGGAAACTTCCAACAACTTTATCAATAGTTATTTTAAATTCTTCCTTCAATTTTTCCAAGAAATCTTCAATGATTTCTTGTTTCGTGGCAGCAACAAGACCATCGTCAACATAAAGAATAACCAACAACTTATCATTTTCATTTAGACGAAAATATAAACATGAATCGGCTTTGCTCTCTTGTAATCCAAAAGAAATTAGAACATCCTTGAAACGTTTGTTCCAACATCTTGGTGACTGTTTTAAACCGTAGAGACCTTTTCTTAATTTGCAAACTTGTTGACTACCATCCTCATAACCTTCAGGTTGCTGCATATAAATTTCTTTATCAATGAATCCATATAAGAAAGCAGTTTTTACGTCAAATTGAGCTAATTTTAACCGTTCCTTTGCTGCAATACTCAAAAAAATTCGAATAGTATCAAAACGTACCACTGGACTGAATGTTTCTTCATAATCAATGCCCTCTCTCTGATTGAAACCACGAACAACCAATCGTGCTTTATACCGAGCAATTTCTCCAGTACAATTTCGCTTGATCTTGTAAACCCAACGATTTGAGATGGTTTTTTTACCTTTCGGTAAGTCAACCAATTCCCAAGTTTGATTTTCTTCAAGCGAGTCCAATTCCTCTTTCATTGCTTTATTCCAGTGTCTCTGTTCTGCAGTTTGTATTGCTTCAGAATAACATTTTGGTTCTTCTATTTCAGCCATCATAATGTCTAGCAATCGCTCTGGCGCTTTTAATGTTGTACGATCACGCAATTGTCTTTGTTCGTCAACATCATCTATATCTTCCGCAAATTCTGTTAGAGGTATTATATCGTCAACCTGATTAACGGGTACATCTACCGGAAGTGGTACTACTTCATTTCTTTCGTGACTGTTACCATGACTATGATTTTCATTTGGAAATAAAGTTAACAATCTTCCAGTCAATTCCGGCCCAAAAACTACATTTTTGCTGCGTTCAATTTTGTTTTTTTGATTTGAACCAAATCCGAAATCCGTCCACGTTATCAGAATACCCAACAAAAATTCCACGTTTTCCTTTTTTATCCCATATCTTTCGCTTTACATTTGGTACATGTACATAGCATTCTGTACCAAAAATGTGAAAATTATTTAAGTGGATATTCTTACCAACAAACAATTCATAAGGTGTTTGTCCAGGAATACTACTCTGTCCAGTACGATTTAGAATATAAATAGATGCATTTACAGCCTCAGCCCACAACTGTTTCGGTAAATTCTTGGCAAGAAGCATTGTCCGGGCAAGTTCAACGACAGTCCTGTTTGTCCTCTCTGCACAGCCATTTTGTTCTGGACTATATGGATTCGTAACCGACAATATTATACCATTCTCCATCATAAGTTTCCGCACTTCAGCGTTATCGAACTCCAAACCACCGTCGCATTGAAAAATTTTTACTGCTCTCCCAAGTTGATTCTTTACAACTTTCAACATCTCAGCAATTTTTCTTACAGTCTCGGATTTTTCTTTGAGAAAATAAACAATACGCATTTTCGAATAGTCGCAAGTAAAACACAAAAAATATTTTGATCCTCCTAATGAAAGGCATTCCATGGAACCGCAAATATCAGCTGCTATTACTTCTCCTGGTTCGGTTGCACGTTGCTGACGTTTAAAAAAATTACTACGATGCTGCTTGCCTTCAACACAAGCTCCACAAAAATCGTCACTCTCAATGAATTCAATTTGGTGCTTCTTTAGCAACTCTTTCACGTGAAACTTTGTAACAAGTTCATTTCTTCTTTGCATCATTCCGTATTTTACATTCGGTACGCCCTGTATATAAGTTTCTACTTCTATGCGTTGGATTAGTTCCGCCAGGTGGCAGGACCTTACAGCGCGATCCAAAATTGTACATGCTTTTTCTTTCCGATTCCGACTCTGATCGCACGAACATCTAAGCCGTTCTGCGTGAGAAAAGAAAAACACGTGGGTAATCTTTGCCACCACTGTTAGTTAAAAACTTTGGCAATTCTACCAGTATTAATTGCGAGACAAGTAGTCTGCAGCATTTTACCGTTCATCGGGCTTTAACGTGAAACTTTTTTTCTTCGAGTAAGTACGCTTATCTAAATAATTTCTTTTCTTATAGCGGCCATTGTAGATTACGGATATACTGGAAGATGTGTAATTGAGGAACGCTTGGTATTTAATCCCTCTTAAATTTACTTAGAGGTAACGAATTTTACATGTGTGTGTAGGAAGTTTTAGCTTAAACTATTTTAGGGTCCTTGTTCGATACCGAAATTCCTTGTTCGGGGGAAATATCTTGTTCGAGATCACCTGTTGATTGGGGGAAAATTTTGGAGATTCATTATCAACCATAGACACCTAGGAGGTCGTGACCAACAACCTTATCTGAGGGAGATAAGAGCGGCCATTTTATGAAGACGAGGGAGAAACTCATTTAACTACATACTGTTTCGACATGATCGAGAATGCCTTTTTTTTGCTTGATCGGATATATTAATTTTTGTGTGGCTGCGACACTCCATCAGAGACACAGACATTTTTAGAGGGGTATCGAGATTTGAGCTTACCGCATGCTTCGTAGGTCCTTCAGACATTTATTCATAATATATTCCGAACCCTGTGGTTTGGGCCCTTTTTGTTCTCTTTTGATTGCAGAGATGAATGGTGCAAACAGAGCTCTCTTTGCTGCCTCACATCTGGAATATTACATAAGGTAAGCATTATATTCTATTTGCCTTGTTGTTACCGAACTTGCGTTGGGATATTTTCGTTACTAGTTGTGACCGGTAGTAACGTAACCATTTTGTAATTTATATGTGTGATTCATTTATTAATCTTAACGATCAGGAACAGTAATTGGGGGCAATCATTTTTGAACTGGAGTATAATTGTTGGGAATTAATTGGGTTTTTTTTTTATGATTTGTGCAGTGTGTAATTTCACATATATATCTATATTATTTTGCAATTTATTTGAAAGCAACCAGCAATATAGAGCCGTTTGATTTGCATTTATGGTTATTGTACATCCTGTATCTTCCCAATTTTATGCAGGGTGAGTTGATAGTGTACATTAGAAATTGGGTGGCGCTCAACCATAACGCACGGAGATTGTCTTGCCCAGAACGAACTTTACTGCTTTGAACCTTCTCTTGCTTCCATATTCAAAAACACTGAGCTTAGCTGGCCGTTTATGCGGCGGGTTTTGTTAAAAGCAGCGCCAAGCCAGACCCACTGTTATAACTTGTTTTGATGGCCCAATTTTTCATGCCATATCTGCAACGTCTCTTTAGATGAAATATTTGCTTTACTTACCATTAGAATTTTTGGTGGCTTTATGCAGATGATCATTTTGAACAACTGTCCCATTCTTACACCACAAGCTTTTGTAACTCCTCCTTTTGAAAATGTACACTCTTTGTTAGTTGAGCTAAATGACATTCCCTTGTCCAAAGCAGACGTCACAGAAAAAAGATTTCTTCGTGCTGTTGGTACATACAACACGTTTTCCATGTGACATGCGTTCCATATTCCATTGGCTAGCGCATCAAACTGTATAGTTCCTTTGCCTAGGGCATTCATCGTAGACTTGTCCCCAATGTAAATCTTAACAGGTTCTACAAATAATTCAAATGAAGAAAAACGTTCCTTGCGATGTGTGATATGATCCGTTGCTCCAGAATCAACAATCCAGACATCATTTTCTTCAGCACTAAGAACTTCTCCAACAAATGCTTCAGTTTTTGAAAAATTTTCCGCTGGAGTTTTCTTATTTTCGATTTTCTTCGGACAATTATTTCGAAGATGGCCTAAAATATTGCATCGGTGGCATCGTACCTTAGAAATATCAAATTTCTTAACATTGCTACGTGAAGACTCACCAGATGTACTGTAGTTATAACTTTTACTATGGTTTTTCTTACTAGCCATAAGTGCAACTAACTCATCTTGTTTTTCAATTCGCTGTCTTTGTCGCTGGTCTTCCGTTGTCAAAAGGTCCACTAGATTGTTGAAAGTTTGCTGGTTTTCTGACCTTGCCCACCAAGCTTGTCGTAAACTTTCAAATTCATCAGGAAGTGAATCTAGTAATTTAACAACAATCGATGACTCGTCTGGTTTTACATTTAATTGCTGCATCTGCAAAATTAATTGTTCAAATTTGGCAATATGCATCAACTGGTTTTTTTTGAAATACAAAAAACTCTGACTGTACAATATGTGCAGCTTGCTTGGTCTGCTGTTGGTAAACTGAATGTAGTTTCAACCACATTTCTTGTGCTGTTTCACACGCAACCAGCAACGCTAATACCTTAGAATCGATTGTTTTTACAATCAGCTGACTCACTGCGCGATCCGCCTTATCCCAAGCTTTAAGATTGGCCTTATATTCATCTCGATCGGCGTCTCCTGCTTCCTCTCTCAAAGGAGCTGGCTTCACAATTTCGCAGATGCATACCTCATATGCTCCATCTATTCCTCGAAGTAAACTTTTCACTGCAAACTTCCAAAGAATCCAGTTTTCCGTTCCTCTGAGTTTCTCGATCCCATGTACCTGAAGTTCCATTCCAAAAAAAAATTCAATGTCAAACTTCTTTTATAGGAAACCACGCTCTGCTACCATGTTGAAAAAATCGAGACGACGAGAGACGATGAGATATTCAAGATGATTTTAATAAAAAATAGTCGTACAGTTTTTTATAACAGTCAACAATCAAATCTTTTTATTTGACACACTGAAACCTTGATCTAACGAATTTAATGTTTTTCTTTTCAACAGAAACATTAGAAAGGAAACATCATCGTTATCTTAAAAGATTCTGGTATTGCTGTAAATTACTCTTACGAGTACATCCTCAACAATTAGCTCTAATTTTTTTCAGCGTTCAATTGTTTATAAAGTATCAATATTTCCTTAAGATTTTTTATTTTCTCAAAGTTTCTTTATTATTTTCATAATCCTCGAAAATCCAAAATGTGTACTTATTAGTCCAGATCCCACTCTTTTATTATCTCAGGTAAGATTTCACCAGAATTTCCGCTGTAACACTCATTCGGCAAAATTACTATCTATATTATTATCAGAATGTGACCAAATTTTCTTAGCATTTTCTCTCTTAGGTCTCTCAAATTTTTCCCCATTTTCTTTGTCGTCCTCCAAAATTCCACCATTTTCTCCAAAAATATCCATGAATTCCATAGCTTGTTCTAATTTATTCATAGGTCCGTTTCTTGTACTTTTTTCAGAAGTTCATGTAATTTCACAAAAATACTTCTTGCGTGATTTTAACCTTCCACAATGTTCTAGTTCTCCGCATTTCCCGAGAATTCTTTCGCATTTTCGTAAAATGTCTACTAATTTAGTCTTATCGTTACTGCTACTACATAACATGAGAAAAATAAAAAATGGGGGATGGGTCAACTTTTTCTGATTGAAATAATGAACACACACGGTTATGCTATGCTATGTTAGTGCTGTTAATGCCAGTCAACCAGTATCTCAAGCTCTTTCGCCGTTTCAAGTTCTAAATTTTAAATAGTTTTTCATTGCATTGAATTGTCGTACATTTCTATTTATTTCCAAACCAGACATTGACACCTTAAATGCCCATTTTAAATCAGTTTATACCCTAAGGTCTTCATATCCTTGGGAAGGTAAATATCCAGCGAATTCTTACATTAAAGCTTTGCATTCCCAACCAGGTACCTATACTATGCGATAAAAAATGAGTTGCTGTTGAGTTACCTTTGGAATTTTTGTTTACATGAGAAATCGTATTTAACTTGAACTTCCAAAGGCGACTCGACAGCAACTCATTTTTGATCGCCCGTTATTACAAGAGAATTAGTTCAAGGGATTACACTTCAAATTAATAAGAATAACAGAGGATAGTAACTTCCAATCGAATTGAACAAGATTCAATTTTGTAAAATTAAAATGAATTTAGAGCACCTACTTAGTTGTGCCCGAAGCGAAACTTAAAGGCGGTCTCTACTAATAGGGCCATTTAAGTTTGATAGGTTCTGTTTGTGAAAGGTAGAAACTTGGACAAGGGTTAATAAATTCCTAATGTTCCCTATTTTGAACTGGCACTGAAGTGTAATTAAGAATTACGTTCCAGAATAATGACAGTTGGAAGTTGATTCCACCTTTATTGCTTTCCTATTCTTTTTTCTCCATGATATTAAACCAATGGATACTGACCGTATGCTATTAACGTAAGCTACTTACCTTACGTACATAAAACAAAATACCAAACACATCGGTTAACAAGTTTTTTTATTTACTTCATTGATCAATTTGGGTAGTGCCCGTATATATTTTCATACTGTTTTTTATTTGTAGATAGTCCTAGCAACACAATCTGGCAAGATCATAGGGGGCCAAAGGGTGAGTTACAAATTTTGAAAATTATTCTGCTTCCATTTGCAATTTCGTTAATAACACCTGGTTCGGGTGTACGGAAAAAGTGCTTACACCAACAAATGAATATTTCAGGTTCATTACTCAAAATATTCATAAGGCTTAATGAAGTGGGTAGTTTGAAAGTCATGTGACTAGTGTATAATAAGGGGGAAAGACCTCTATAACACTCAACTTGATAATAACTTCGACAAAGTCGTAAATTTGTAGTTCCTTCAAAAGGTTCATGTTGCATTACGTAAAGAAGGGACTGTGATAACAGTTTCGATAAAATAGACAAATTCCAAGAATGCGAAGTTCTGTTGCTAAAGTAATGCAAATTGAAAACTCAAATTCTCTTAGCTGTATTGTTAAGTTTCCCGTTTGATTAGTTTAGAAGGAAAATACTTCAGCTACTTTGCATGAGTATAGTTTCACCATAATTTTTCTTGTAAACAAAGTTTTTCCATTTAAGTTTCAGCTGTCGTTTACTCATTGCACCGATTTAATTAAAATCTGAGAAGGTTGGGGGCATTTTTCTTTACGAGAATTTATTGTAGCGGAACAGTTAAAAATAAAAGATGAGATTTAATCTATCGTTAGTTAAACAACCCTATTGGAGCTTAAAAACGAGTTTGAATTAATTGACGTTAACTTTCACAAGCTCGCTAATATTTTATGTCACAGTTCCCTTGGAAGTTTAAACTTTTGAGTAACGTCTCATGTAATTAACACAACTCCGAAGCGCGACGTTATCTTTTCGGCCTGTTAAAGAAACACGCAGTCTAACATTTAACAGTAATCGTTCAATGAAATATGTATTTTGCGCGTGAAGGCACGTATCTACAATTTTGGCATGAATTTTAACAGTGACACCCGTTAATAATTCGGTGCTTGAAAACGTGGAAACTGATGAAACGAAAGTCAAACGATATCGGTTTGCGGAAAGACAATACGACATGAATATTTTTCTTTAAACTGGTAACGGTTGCAAAATTAAATGTGTCTTTTGTTTCAAGTTAAGAAACATGTTTGTTGAGGCCCATAAGTAAAACTTCAAAGTGAAATTTATTGTTACCATATGTATATCTTTATACAGGGTGGCAGTTTGAAAACTTACCACCCCCCATGTCAATAAATAAACGAGATATTTAAAAAAATCAAAATCCGTTTCGGGTAATTCAGAGGGGGAATCACAATGACATAGTTGGCGACGCACCCCCTCAAACCTCCTGCGCCCCAGCCACCCCAACTTTTAAATCTTAAAT